ACTTCCCACGTAGACGTACCATCATTAAGGGATTTGATGATCTTTGGCAAGCCGATTTGGCCGAATTTATACCTTACGCTAAACAGAATAAAGGCTACAAATACATACTGGTAGTTATCGATTGTTTCTCAAAATATCTGTGGACGAGAGGACTGAAGACTAAAACGGGTGAGGAGGTGACAAAAGCCATACAGGCTATTTTCAAAACTACCAGACGTAGACCGAAAAATCTACAGACCGATGCGGGGAAGGAATTCTACAACAAATCATTTGACAAACTGATGGCGCGAGAACAGATTAATCACTATTCCACGTACAGTACAAAAAAGGCTGCCATAGCCGAAAGAACAATTAGGACGATCAAAAATTATTTATACCGACAGTTTAGTCTACGTGGAAAATATGTATGGATTGATGCAATTGAATCAATCACGAGCGAGTATAATAATCGTAAACATCGAACAACGGGGATGAAGCCGATCGAAGTAAAGGCCGATACACAGCTGAAGGCCTACAGCCACATCAAGCTCTTCAACAAGAGACATCGTTTTAATGTTGGCGATGTAGTTCGAATTAGTAAGCACAAGAGTGTGTTCGCCAAGGGATATACTTCGAACTGGTCCAGTGAACTGTTTAAAATTGCAAAAGTGCAAATAACCAATCCGGTGACGTACTTGCTGGAAGACATGAAAGGAAAGCCGATATTGGGAGGCTTTTATGAGCAGGAACTGCAAAAAGCTAAATATTCCGATATCTATTTGGTGGAGAAGGTGCTGCGACGTAAGAAAGATAAAGTGTACGTCAAGTGGTGGGGACTGGACGAAAAATCTTGGATAGAAAATGATAATATCGTATTGTAATTTTCGCTGTAAATTAATAAATAAAGAAAACAAAAGCTTTTTTGATCTTTTTTTATTTTTCCTTCCAATTACCATACAACATATTTTTCATTTTTTCTAGTAAAGCTATCGTTATTGACAATTTTTTTAAGAATATCGTACGTTTTCTGGTAATCGTTCAGCAGCGTCGAGGGCCATACGCTGCTATCTGGCCCACACCTCCAACCCAGTAGAGCGTTAGGATCTTGTGTACCGGTTCTTATATTTTTCAATAGCCACTCGTAGATTTTCCGATGGCGAGCATCTTGCCGTGGACTAAAATTATACCTAACATTCGACTCTTGGCAAACATCAATAAATATTTGCAGCGCATTAAAGTTTGCGTATTCTGCCGCTGTGCATATAGCATCGTTAATGACATACGAACTATCTTTATACATACTACTATTAAATACATTATTTACACTATTTGCTCTTAAATCTGCTATAAAAGTTGTAAAATACAATGGTACACTAGGAGCATGAGCGTCAGCAAAACGATCACCGTTTACACGGGAATAATGGTTCATTAAATTATCCAATTCAATCTTTTTATGAAATAGTAATTTAACCATTTCCTTGCACACATTTTTTGATATTGCGCACCAGTTAAAACACTCATCCGGAATAACAATGCGCTGTAAAATGTTGTTAATGAAGAAGTAAGTCTCGATAGAGAACGAAGTGGTGTTTAATATAGCGCACTTTAAATGTCCGAAGTATATTGCGTGCGAAGCACGAAAAATGTCTTGTTCCAATTTTCGATCATTACTTTCCATGCTACTATTACTGCTACTACTGCTGTTGCTCGTCATCACACACACACGCACACACCTAAATTAACAGAAAAAGAAAATTATAACACAAGGTGAAAGAGGGTTGTGGAATATTGATACAATTAAGTGAGAGAGTTATATCCCCAAGGACGAGTGTTAATACAATCGGGATCAATTTGTCGTTTATCGTCATGTGGGCTTAAAACAATCTTGTTCTGTTCAATGGTGAATACTGCATGTTTTTGCGATTTTATTAGATGCTGAGACCGTTTCAAGATTGCATCGTTAAACAAACAGTTTTTGTAGTCCTCTAAAGTCAGTTCACGGATACTGGCGAAAGTTGCACCTTTTGATTTTTTCAATACTTTACCGTCTACATAATAAGCATACATTTTTGCCCTTAGCCCTACGAACTCTAACATTATTTTACCATTGTTCTCGTCTTTCATCAGACCGGGAACTTTTTTGTTAACCAGGGGTATGCCAAAAGCGTTATTAGGACTATAAGCCGAAGTATCAAATCGAGCAATGTTTTCTCTTATCGACTGATAAATGTCGGAAACTGCGAATGAGTATATCAAGCTATCAGTGTCGGTGTATAAGAGTTTTGCGCGATTTTTGAATTCCCTTAAAACAAAATTGTAGTGAAAATCGTAAAGAAACGTTTTTGAAACGTCTAAAACTGCTAAACCGGCATAAATAGGTTTATTGAGCAGCACTTCTAAACGGTTCATTTCTATAATGGCTATGTCCTCATTATCGCCGAAAAGAGTGCAACTGTTAAAGTTCGGCTTCGATATATACGCCCCAGCGCCGTACCGTCCTTCCCATGTCGTTACCAAATGCACATCTTTATATTTCCTTACATTTTCCATTAGTTTTCCATATACACTGTTTACCATTAGCTTGTAAAAGTGTATCTCAAATTCATTACTAGATTCTTGCCGCTTTTGCGTATTTAAATCGATATACTTTTTTAACCAAGGCGATTGTCGAAATTTTAATACGCGATTAATTTTGACGAGTTCTAATCCCTGCTTTATGTACAGTTTCAAATTTCTATAATGCAACACATAGTTCTGTTTCGAATACAATGTTAGCATTAATTTCTTAAAATTAGAATGAGGAGGGTTTCTGTGCTCTGGTGCCAGAGGAAGATCATTATGCAATTGATGGAGATTGGGCGGATAATTTAAGTCGCAATCCAAAATGTAACCGATTTCTGCATCATCAGGGTGGTTCAATATATCTAACGTTTCAAAAGCATCGTCATCTACAAAGGAAAACTCTCCGTAGGGCAAAAATTCACACATTGTGGCACCATACAGGGAATTGACATCAAAATACATCAAGTAGATCGATTCAAGATCTGGACGATAGTCATCTTTCATGTATTTATTGTTAGCCTTCGCGTATCTAGTGGAACATTGAGTGATACCACCTCGAATACCCTTCTCAATGAACATAACTTGATCAATATCTGTTAGAAGTTCTAATTTAATCTCGGTAATTTTGAGCATGGCATCGAATGCGAGACCAGGTGCCGTGTAATAATGCAAGGGATCCAGTTTATAAGTTTGTAGACAAGTTTCACGAAAATTTTCAAATATATCCGCTAAAAGTAGCACGTCTGTTTTCAAATACAAATCCGAAAATTGACCGAGGGTTTGAATCGAAAACAAGTTCCATACTTTTAAAGCATGATCATAATCTTCGTCGGTGATGCCTTCGTTACGCAATGTACTAAAAAAATTATCTTTTGGCGGTAACTGAGTTTCGTTTAATTTTTCCCAAGAGTCTACGTATTCGTAGGGAAAAACACCCTTTCGTATGACCAAATTAAACTCGGACTCGTTGCGACTTTGCGAACGCGTTATCGTTTTTTTATCATTTCCTAAATACGATGACAATTTTTCTATGCTACTGCTCATAAACCTAAAGGAGTCGATAAATCGAAAATTAACCTTTGTACCCTCTACGTATTTCGTAAAGGAGATATACTTCTCTTTGTTTAAAGGTAAAAGTTTTATTTGTCCAGGCATACCGGTTGCAAGTTCGCGGATGATGAAATGTGAATCGTATCCACTTAGATTATGAAATACCACCGGTATGGCATGATTATCTTGATAGTTTATATTGCATGCCTGATGTGATGCGCCCCTGTATTTGGACGTAAAATGGCAATGATCTCGGCACCGAATTTCGTTTTCGGAAAACGCCTTCTCGCATATGTGGCAATGAGTGGCGCTCTCGAAATCTTGTTGCTGTTTCTCACTCAATCTTTCCATCGGTCGAGGGTTGTTAATAATTGTATTAGTCCACATCGCGATACTTCGTAGATGGTTAATAAACCAAGTTACGCAATCCTCACCTCTATAGGACCAAAACTTCGAGAGCGATTCGTCATACGCACATTTCAAATAAAAAGCTATGCCGTAAGGTACATGCCTTTGAAATAGGTTAGTGTTTTTCCCTGTATAGTAAATTGTATCACATTTTTCCAAAATGCTTTCTATATCCGCGTAAATTGCAAACGGAACTTTTTCCTTATTAGAATAATGAGAAAACTGTACAATTTTTTCAGATTCTCTAGGCAATCTTACCGCACATTTATTTACTTGATGACAGCGAATTGTATGCTTTTCCAGTAACTGATTCGAAGAGAAGTGATTTAAGCAGATGTTACAGAAAAATTTTGCATGTTCCCTTCTCGACAATTGCGACGATAATAAACGTGATAGGTTTTTTATCCACGCAAAATGATAGTATTTAGAATTAGCGCCATTTGTATCAGATGATAAGACTAGTAAATTGATCGTATCTGCTCGAGGTTCGCGATTTCTACTTAACATAAAAGGAAGTACGTTTCTCTTTTCTAAGCAATACAAGTTAATGGCGAGATTATTCAATCGTTCGAACTTCTTTATATCGGGTACCTTAATAGGGAATTCAATATTTCCACGGTTCAAAACAGCATCGAAATGGGGGTAACTGAAAGGTCTATCGGGGTTAGATTTCGCGGGATAAAGGGCGGAGACGACCGACCACAAAAAACAATACTTGTCATTATTTCTAACATTGATAACCGCTCTCTTAAGTGCTATAAAACGAGGGATTTTAATATAGGTGGAAAAGCGTCCTACTCTAATGGGCATGTATTTATTTATGTTTATTTTTACATATAATACCTCCCTTAAACTCCAGCCAGATTGACACTCTTCAAAGCCCTCAAGCTTCCCTCGCAATCTATCAATTACCTCCTTCCGATACCACTCTTTTAGATTACTACCGACATCAAGAACGCTATTTTTTGTGGCAAACGTCTTGAGATCTATGATAAGATTTTGAGGATGTATGAAATCGCATGCAAGAACCACGTTTACTTTTAGCATGGATTGTCTTAACATTTCCCTAACCTTTCGTGCAATGTTATTAAACGCCCTATCCAAAAATATTAAAGGATCCTTGTATATCGTATTTACAATAATACCGGTAAGTATTCGACTCTGAAAGCAGGAATTTAAAGTTTGCCAAATTAGGGCACGAGATTTGGAACCGTTGTTACTAGAAGGACTGTTAGTAGGGGTATCACTTATTCCACAACCCCCTTTTTTTCCCGAAACCTTTTTCAATTGTTGAAGTAACCTAACCAGATAAAATTTCAAAATTCCTAGATTACTTTCTAAAGTACTGGGGTTTTCTAGGCGATTGTCTAAATGAATTCTATTATTGATTGCATTTTGTATCAATGAAATATTTGTCCTTAATATCGAAATATGTCTCAACATTTCCGGTTTATGTTTTAATAATGAAACAGCTTTTCGGGTCAGCTTAACTATTTCACTACTAAGAATTGCAACGGATGAAGATTCCATTGTCACTACTTACAGGAATTGTCTATCTAAAGAACTATTTCTTTCTCGGAAAAAAGATATGTGAGTACTGATATCCTTGTCACAGACACCTCGCGTACGTACAATCGACACTGTTGATGGTGTATTGCACTCGCACGACGTCCTATACTAGCCGCGGGGGGATTTGAAGATGCAAGTAATGTTAGTATCGTCACCTTATATATAGACCAGGTGTTCAGGGTCAAATATGCACAATCAGCTGCACTAGTGTGGGAAGTATCAGAATCATACGATCTATCGTTCTCACTCATTAACACAATCTTTCTTTAGTTTTTCGCAGACGTTACAACAATTTTACAATATATACTGAAAATTTTCCCCACACTTTATTATTAGTTAGCATCGAGCTCTGCAGTGTAGTAAACGTAATGCCTTTACCTTCACGAAAAATTCCAAAAAAGTCGGACCGCGCGCCGAAAATAAAAAAGGTCGAGATACTGCAATCCTTATTAATAAAACCACCGACAGCGACGACCAAAACTTTAACAAAACGACCACCACCATTGGAGACGAAAAACGCGCCGCCAACACCTAAAATGGATTCAGCGTCTCTGCCAGTAGTAAATAATGGAGGTCCATTATTGGACGAGGAAGTGATAACAATCTATTCGGATAATTCTACAATCGCGTAAGTATACAATATTTATGATTTTTTTCTAAAAGTTATTTTCTACCTCTTTCTCGTTATGTTAAAATGTAATTGCTTTTTACAGAACCGGCAACTTGGGTGATAGTTTGGAGCTAGATCTTCTGTTGGCCCAGTTGGAAGGGGACCCCGCTGCTAGTTTTATGTTCGAACCAGCTCGGTAAGTAAAAATGTATTTTTTCTTTTCTACGTGCTTATGATAAAATTCTCTGATTTCAGAATAATTCCAACACCGATACTATCCCAACCAATGCGGTCGCCTACACCACCACAGCCACCGCTACCACCTGCACCGGTGTTCCCACCTCCTCAGGCAGAACGACCTGTCATGCAAGCGGGCCAAAAACGACCGTAAGTTTATATCACAATACTTATCGAACTCCATCGTAACAGATTATTTTTTTATTGATTACAGTCGCTGCCATGACAACGCCTCGCCGTCTACCAGTAGCGGAAAAATCAAAAAAGGGGGCAAGAATTTAGCAGACATAATGGAGATGGTCGGATCTGACCTGGAGGAAAGCTACAGGGCGGACAAACCTAAGGCGTCGCAGCATGAGGGGATTATGCAACCAAAAACGCCACGGGAGCTAACACTCACCACTTACAGCAGCTGAAAAGCATGGAACCGGTGTACCGGGCCAAGCTGTTGGGGGCGCGTGCCAAGACGCACGAATTGCAACGTCAATTAGATGATGCAAAAAAAGAAAAGAAACGTGTCGAGAAGGACCTTAGTGACATTGAGGACTTTCTCAAGTTCCTAAAATCTAAAAAATAAGTTTTTTATGTAAGTAGGTAATAGTTAATATTGTTAAAGGTAGACATAGGTTTTTTGTATATATAGATTTAAGTAATAAATAGCAAATAAGCAACACATAAAGTCTTCTTTTTTACATGGTGGTGGTGTGGTCATGAATCATAGGCAAGAAAAAAGATGTCTGTGTGAAAACATTGGTATAGAAAAAATAGTTATAGCGTAATAGTAAAGCTCATGCAGATCAAAATGCAGGAGATACGCAACAAGTAAACCCTTCTTTTTTACTTGGTGGTGGTGGTGGTGGTGTGTTCAGGAATCATGGACTAAAAGAAATCGTGTCTACATTGGTGTACAAAAAATAGCTACGCATATCGTTATACATGAGGTTATGCAGCCTAAAATGCAGGAGACCGCATGTATAATTGCATAAGCGCACTTGAAGCAAGACCGCTTATTATGTTCAAAAATTTCGCGGTTACAAAAATTCGTAGGTTCTAATCAGTTTCAAATGTGATCGCATAAATAAAGAAGCTCGCTACAAGTAGCGTACTTCCACGATCTCGCTTTTTACCAATTGTACGTAATGTACACAAAATTACGGCGATCGCATAAACCATAAAGGAAGCGCGCGAGGCGCGCTCCCACGATCAAGCTTAAGAGTAATGACACACATAGCGGTTTATGCCGACTCGTCGGCCGACTCGGCCGACGAGTCGGCACTTATGTTTATATTTTCAAATCATGCAAAACACACACGGCGGCGGTCGTTGCTAGACCGTCTCGGCACGTAGTCTACACCAAGAAACGCGTGGCGTTTTATTGCCGGAGCGGCGCTTATTTACATGGGTTTATATAGGTACTGACACACACATCGGTTTTCGTCCGCGTTTTTCACAAACAGCGTACAGATTTTGCAGTATCAAGTTAGAAATGGCTTCGAAACAAGCGTTGCAGCTTATAGAGAAGAATCTTGATATTGAGAAATTGATAGACGAAGTACATGATCGTCCAGCATTATGGGATATGACCCAAACCGACTACAGTGATAGAATCAAAAGAAAACAATGCTGGGAAGAAATTACAGAGCTTTTTGGTTTTGGTAGTGAGCTGACTTTGGATGATAAAAAAAAATTAGGTAAGTAAATTTGTTTATTATTAGATACAGGAACAAGACGAACATAATATTAATAGTCAATTATTGGCAAAATAGTGTGCATATTTATCTCTGACTGTAAGTGCCCTGGGATTTCCTCTAGTGCGTGTATGAGGTAAAAACAGCTTGTAATGTTTTTTTTACTTACCTTAGAGTTATGACCAATTTTTCTTCTGGTGTAATACAAGTTCTCATACGTGTGTTTTTCTTCATTATTTTTTCTCTTATACAACAAAGTAGTTCGTCAAAAGAAGCCAATGACATACGGGTGTAATTAAAAAATTTGTCTTCATCTTCTCGTACTTCAGAAAATAGAGTATAAAAATGTCCTTTGGTTAGGCGATCATTTACAATTGGATGCACCCACATTCGTCTATTCTTCTTCGTTCTTTTTTTCCAACGCAAATACAGCAAGCCCAAAAGCACTAGATATTCTAAATCGTTGTCCATGTTAATCAGGCAGACTTGGTTCTGTCGCAATGTTGTAATTGTACGTTTCACAGCCGCCCATCGGCCGAGTCGGCAAAAACCGCGCTGTATGTCATCGTCAAGCGGCGGCCGACGAGTCGCCACAAACCGCTGTGTGTGTCATTACTCTAAGTAGCCAGCGCTGCTGGCGGATGATAGACAGCCGCGGGGGACCGCGCGGTCGCGGCGGTGCAGCAGCCGCGCGGAGCGCGCGCGGGCAGCCTTCATCCTAATAAAGGTGATGGTGTTTCAGACGAACTCCGCGGATACATATGAGTTGTATTCATTCATTCTCCTACAAGGTGCCGATATCGCATTCGAACGCTGCTCGCTTCCGCTGTATCATAAACGCTTCGAGTAAATCCCGCTGGATTTACTGCAACATCGGAGCAGTTTTTTTTTTGGATTTCCATCCAAAATATTGGTCAAAATTTGTTCTCCCACCTTTTTTGAATAAATGTGCTGCTTTTTGCAAAATGTTCATTTACCTAAAATTACTTATATTCTGCAGCTATCAAAAATTAGTTCTATTAAGGTTTAAAAATGTGACCCATTAGTAATAAATAAGGTACCTATGCTTAATATTAACAACGTAAATTGAAATGAAGGTTTCCGAGATAAAATGTTTATTTTTACGTGCACAGGTCAATGTAATTCATTATGATTAAACCCATTTCTCCTTAGCACTTCAATTGCGTAGGTACTTAGGAAATTTCACTCGTGGTTAAATAATTATACAACAAATATTCATGCGTGTTTTATTTCTTTACTGCTGCTGAAGTACATATAATAATTATTGATACGAGCGCCAGCCCTTAAATATACATGTGTAGTACAAAAAATAGTAATTTTGATAGACGTTGGCTCTTTCAACTTCTTGTGTGCAAGCGCACTTTACTCAATTTTCGTTGCACCTCGAATACCTCCAGGTCCCATTTTAATCTCTTTATTTTCGTAAGCAAATCCTCAATTCTCTTGCGGTTTCGGCTCACTTTTACAAATGTTGTTGTTGTGGTTGATGCTGTTTTTGTCATCGTAACGGATGCTCTTTCTATACCAAGATGAATATTACAGCACTCATTCCCATCCTTTATATACCACCTTCAGTTCATAAACAAACCACTTCATGCAAACCTCTGATACTTTATCCCTGAGCCATTGATTATATAGGTACTACGAACAAGATAGGCCACAGTACAGGAAGAAACGTTACACATAAAATGATCATTATTTAATTCGAAGTGCTACTCCCACACAAAATTGAGAAGAAATTATAACAGATAGCGCTTTTCATAATGAAATTGTTTGCGTCTTGATTGTAGAAGTTAGTTTTGATTATATCTGTAATTTTCACGGCAAGAATGTTTTGAAATTTAATATGTAGGTATAGGTATAGTGATGGTGATAATGACAAGAGTAATTTTTATGCTTTCGAGTTTCATTAATGAATGAACGACTGTTTCGCATATTAGCTGATAGAAATGGAGACTCCGAAAAAATTAAATTTACCTGAACATGAACTAATAGTATAACCTTTTCGGAATACCCACTCCAAAAATTCGAATATCATTTTAACGAAAAAAAAACGTAGTCTGAAAGTCATTAGACGGTAGTATTTACTGTTTTTTGTTACTGAAAATCTATTCTTGCTCACTAGCTGCATATATCAATATTACTAAATTTAATATGAATTAAACTTTAGGGATGCCGATGACCAAAATTATGAATTATGGCAATTTGTATTTGTGAGTTATCTCGTATATACCTATGATATTGCTATACAAAATACACGGATTTTACGTAACCATTATGCAAATACCCTTTCAAAAAAGAATGCCAATTTAATATTAGAAAGCATACTAAATGAAGCTTAAAAAAAGTTTTGCTTAGTCGAGTTTTCTTTATAGTTTATACCAATATATTTTTTAAGTTTAATGCATGTAAAGTGTAAACTGCTAACATGCCCACCTATTTATCTTATACTTAATACCTATCTAAGTTCATACTTCATATTCCCTATAACTATAAACTAAAAATTTGAACAAAATACCTCGCAAAATACATTAAATATGAAAATCCGTACCTTCGTAAAAATACCTAAGTACAATCATACCTACATATAACTACTTATGTTGCACTATATTTAGTTTTCTAGTAGATGACGATTGAGCTTTAACGGTCTTGAAAGATTTTGACATTGTCGCTAGCATTTTATAAAGTTTACAATTAACAAGTAAATCTATTATATACAGGTTATGTTCTACACATTTATTATTTTTATCTAACCATATAGGAAATTTATTTTTTAAGTTTTCGTTAATTTCTAAAACAAGTGTTTTTTTAAAAAAAGGTATATGTTTGTTATTTAAAAAAAAATTGTCCATAATATTTAAACAAAACAAAACAATTTGTACAATGACATCTGTTGGCCGATATAAAAAATCTATATTGTCACTCTCGCCATAATCCCGTAAAAAAATTAAAATTTCGTTTGTTGCGCGCACTTCGTCACTTTTTTGGTTATTTGTTTTACACAATTCGCACATAAATTTTAGATCACATTTATAAAGCAGATATCCAGCAAAGTATGTGATTGCATTTTTTTCGAAATCACTCAGTGTCACTGTCACTGCACTACTGTTTTCTGCAAAAACACGGGGACCTTCTTGATCTCCTTCATTCTGGTTAACTGCATATTGAGATGTTTCTTTTTCTTCGTCTTGGTTGATTTCTTGACTAACGATGTTTGTTCTTGTTATATCAACATTTTCTTTTTCCATTTCGCCCTCGAGTTCATCTAAGTCTAACGGTTCGTCTAAATCAATTTCACAATTTCCCGTTCCACAAGACTGCAACATTCTGACATGCATATTCTGCTGCAGGGCTTGTCGGAAGGACTTCACTGTGGGATTGGGATTGTATCCACCTCTACTTCGCAAAACGGAAAATAAGTTTTCGAGTGGATCCTGTTGCAACCTACTCGTCAACAGAAATGCATATCCGTCTTCTTTAACCTTTTCAAATATTTGTAGTATGGCGGTGATCGTTTGAATTAATCCGTTATAGCAATATACATTTTTCCGCTCTTCATTTTTGTTGTTATAAATTTTAACACAATTTAGATATTGCACAGCTTCGGTCAATACGTTGTGCCCTTTGGTATTTTTCGAAGACAACGCGCTTTTTAGTGGATGACGGTCATAGAGTACTCGACTATTTAAACAGTCAAATATGTCATTGATTGTCTTCAAAAATTTACACGTGGTTACCGCGGATGTGGACTTTAAATCGCCAGTCAAAATTGCAGTCTCCATCGCAGTTGACATTCGTTGACTAAAAACTTGAACAGCTAACCTAACGGACATTCGTTCAAAATTATTGGGAGATATATGTTTATCGGATATCTTCATCAAAGCAGATGCAAACTTCGACCTCTTATTGATATAGTAGGTAGCACGGACG